TAAAATAAGGACAAATGAGCCATGCAGTGAAACAAATAGAATTAACAGAGAACACTTCCAACCCCATCAGGTTTCACATAACTTTAAAGAAGGTAAACTCCATGCTGCAGAGCCAGAAAAGCCAATATTTTATCCTCTTGCATACGTACATCAACAGGGGTTATGCAAAAAATCAAGGACAGAGTGTGACTGACCAGTGACTTAAATTATTTATACTACCTTTTATACTTGATCAATTAATAGTCACACTGAGCTTTAAGGAAATATTCATGTGAGAAAGAATGACTTGGACAAGAAAGACCTGTAGAATCAATCCCAAGCAATTACTCTCCAGTTGCATCCAAAGGGCCAACCTGTGATATAAAATACCAAATGGAAAATCTAAGTGATATTTATTGATAATATTGCTGTAAGGCACTTACACTCTTGTAGATAAAAGGTGATTGAGTCAATGTCAGATATCTTTAGGCAGACATAGGCTTTCCATTTCTCCTAGGTATTCCACTTATTTCTGACCTCATTCACTCTATAGTAGATCATCTGCACTAGACACATTCCATATTTATTTAGGATTTAGTCCAAATGAGTTTCATCAATCTAAAACAAGTGTGAGAAAAGAACCAGGCTCTTGAATTCTATAAACAAGAATGAAAGGAAGAGCTCGTGCATTAACACTTTGAAAGAAACATTAAATTTATGGGTTCACTTGATTCACAGTTGTTCCAAAGTAAGGCTCCTCTGATTTTAAGTGCACTGCACAGAACAATAGAACATAGATGTAGTTAAAAAGGCATCAGCTCAGCTAGGTTCATCCTTAATATCCCAGTTCAGCAAGGTGCTGAACTGTAAGTACTTATGCAATCCAGCTGCAGTCAATTCACATCCACTGAAATCAATGCTCGTTCTGGTATCTGTTGAGGACTTTCATACCACTGATAGGTTGGTCAGAGCTGCTACTGCTCTAAGGAGGCTGTTATAGGTCCAGCAACTGTAACTGGAAGACCACTGATGAGTGTTTTTTACTTTCTGGTGAAAAACTCTAAGGTGAAAGAGAAGACTTTTCTGGAGAGAAACAGATGTACCATGACCCCACTCTGGAGAAGGTCTATTCTGCTTCAGACCTCTCTGCCATAAAGTTTAGTAATAAGTTTTTGTTTTGGTTTTGCTTCACTATGCATTAGTAAAACAACTTTTTTCAAATGGAGTTTTCACAAAATACTGGTTACACAATAAGTATAAATAAATGCCTAGTCTAAAAACTCAGACGTTACTCTGAATCAAAGAATGCCAGACTCTCGCAAAACTCTGTGGCTTGGGGACCAGGCTTTGGGAATTCTCTGAGATGTAGAATACACAAAATTCACATTCTTCATAAATCCCAGCACTGCTTCTCATGTCATGTCACTGTGCATGTCTGAAATGGCCAAACTTCTGGACATCTTTGTCTTAATGCTACTTAAAAAGTTTATGAATGAGAACACGGGAAAATCTAGGCAAATCCTGTATTCCTTCATTAAGACCTCTACTGAATTCACAGAGAGCTTTGCTGGGGTGAGGACTAAGCAAGAACTGCTGTGCCTAGAGTATATTCATTGGTGACTGAGATGAGGAGCACACCTGCATTTACTAAAATTAAAAAAACCTCACATAGTAAAGTGTGCCTGTATTGTGCAACAGTACTTGACCTACAATATTCCTTTCTTACTAGCTAACCATAGTTTTCATTTCTTGCCCCACATCCTTCTTGCTCTCTCCTATTTATTGTCACAGAACCTGTAAAATACCTGCTGCTCATATGCTGTCACTTTGTTGTGTCTCACCTTGCTGTAAGTGAATTCAATGGCAAACCTTCATTGACCTCAAAGGGAGCAGTATTTTTCCTGAGATGCCTAATCCAAAGCAGGACTGCCCCTTAATTCAGTAAGCTTTGGATCAGACCTAGAAGGGATCTTAGCAGAATCAAGAAGTGGCAAGACACAGCCACATACCAAAACCACACCTGAGTGTTTATCTCTCATTCCTAATCTTTTACGTGAAAGGGATTAAAAAGCAAGTTGTTCCTGTCAACTGCTTGGGTGCTATGCATGATCTGAACGATTGAGAGGCATCTGTAGGACAGCTATGCACATTAGCATGGTTTCATCTCTTTCTATAGAAGTTCAAAAGGGAGCAAATATTTGAATTCGAGGCTTCACGGTAATATTTCCTCATTTGGTTCCCAACTTCCCACTCTCAAAATCCCACCATCCTTTCTGCTGCTACAGATGAAAGAAGATGGTTCTGCCTCTTGTTTCAGGACAAACTAGCACCTTACTACATAACCGAACAAAAAATGAGAAATACGAAAGTGATGTTACCCAAACACTTCAGATAAAACCTTGCCACAGAGCCTAACGCAGCCTGTGATGACTCCAGACTGTTTGGAAGTACATCCACCTGATTCCAGCATACCTTGTTTTACATGCAACTCTGCTTCTTTGCTTATGTTCCCCAAGTCTCAATGTGCTGCAACAGTTTTTGCTCTCCTTTATGTCATTCAGTCAAGTTTCCACAGCCGTCTTTGAGATGCCATAGGTGTATCTGACTATAGTTTTGGCTCATATATGTATTTACAGACTGAGGGTTGCTACAAAGAGAAACTGAGTGCATGTAACACGATGACTTCCAGTTGCTAGAATCACAGAAACCACATCAAATGGAATTAGACAGAAGGCAATTGAAATAATGAAAACCACTGCAACATGTATATAAGCGCAATGTGAAACTCCCTGTAGCAAGAAAGCATAGAACTATAACCAATCAATCAAACCAGGAGATGAGGAAAAAGGGAAATAAAAAGGTAAAAAATAAATATTTAGACATCTTGGGAAATGAAAGAAATGGCCGCTTTCATTTGAGAAACCTGAGGAGAAATCCAGCCTCAATGGCCAAAGGGGGATTTTCTTAAAAGCTCAGAGTTGGCATAACTCCTTTCAAGCAAATCCATGACAGGGCACTGTTAAGTCTTGAGAAGAGTTCGGTCAATGGCAAGCATTCATGCAAGTTTAACCGTCCTGTATTTCTGCATTTATCCCCCAAGCAAAAGAATGAATGTGAGTCACAGGCAAAGAACCTAAGAATCAGTATTTTAGTTTCACCCTATTCATCTGGTCCATCTTAATGTGTTGACTCCTACCTAGTCTTAGGATGTGTCTCAAGCCCTATAGGCAATTGCCTTCTTTTCCATTTTAAAAAAAAAAAAAAAAAAAAAAAGATTCCACAAACAAACACTTGGGTCTTCTCTCCCCTCACCTCTGCCTGATGGGTATGGTGTGAGATGTAGCCGAGGCAGCGCCTATGGCCGAGCGAGCTCCCGGCTTGGCCACAGCGTGTCCCAGCCACGTGGCTCCACGGGTTGCTCCTCCCGCCTGGGTCCGGGAGGAGGAGAGGTCTGTTACAGACCACATCAGTGATGTTTCAAGCCGTGGAGGACTGAGAAGCTGGTCCCTGACTCCTGCAGGCTGTGTAGCAGCTGTGTCACAAAAGTGCTGGGGGCACTGATGGATGCTAGCTTGTACCAGGGGATCGCAGTGTGTAACACAGCCTCCCTGAACCCTTTTTGGCACAACTTACGCCCATCTGCTTCCCCTCTGCTCTTTCTCCTGGAGAGGAACATATGGCCTAGAATATGTATCTCAGAAGCAGAAAATGTATTCATATTGTTTTCTAAAATATTCTGAATACTTTCTTTTTTCTCCTATAAGCTTTTATTCCAGCTATGAACATTATATTCTGGCACAATAAATATTTTTTTTTACAAAAGTGAGTCCTTGCTTAAATAGTTAGGCAGCCCACAAGAGAAAACTAAACTAAAAAAAAATTGTGTATTGCACTGCAACAGTAAGAAGTTGCTATCGCAAGAAAAATCTTTGCCAGGATTCTGGTTTTTGTCCATTCCACCATCATATTTTAATACTTACCTAAGTCCAATAGCGTTGCATCCAATAACAAATCAACAACAGAAGAAAATAAAGCCACAGTTAAGCTTGACATGAACATCTGAACACTGAACATTTTTGCTCAGAGAGGTTCAAACTGGAAACAAGCTTCCACAATTTACCTCACATTAAATAGTACCTCACATCACAAATAGAACAATGACGTTCCTCAAGAAGCAAGAAAATCTTCCTTTTAAATAGCAGTACCAACACCTGTGTGTGCAGTCCCGCTTCCCTAACAAGGGAAAAGTTTTCCACTGCATCAGTGAGACTTTTGCCAGCTTGCCTGTTTGAAGACAGCGGTACTGGAACAAGGCTTCATCTGAATGTTCCCGCATTTCTGCCTGAATATATACAAATTTTACATATAGATATATATGTGTATGTATGTGTGTGTTTTTATATGTCTATACTTGTTTATATACATATATATGCATACATACAGACATATATATATATTTTAATACTTTCTACAGAACACTCTAACTGTTGATCACAAAAATGTAGGATAAGAGAAGACATACTGCAATCCTTGCTCAATGTAAAACCATGCCAAACAGCGGCTGTTGACACTATTCTTTGATAACCTGTCCAGCACACCTCAAGAGACACTGATACCACACTTATGCAATGCCTGTAATAGGACAAGTAGCAATACTGAAATGTATGTTTCTCATAACCAAATGCTTTTCTAACAGAAAAGTAGGTAGTGCTCTCTGGCTGTATTTTCATCGAAGCATTTAATATGAAGTCCATTAACAAATGCACAGATGTTTCTGATTATATTCAACAACAGTAAAGTGCAGCAGTTGCCTAAAATCAACTGAAGTCAACAGGATTCCTTCTGCTGATTTCAGTGGGTTTTAGGACATATTTGGGTATACTCACTTCATGATATGTAGATTTTTAGATTCTTCTTTTCTCTAAATATTTTAGTGAAAGTTGTTGATTCCTGCATGTCAGATACATGGCTTATGAAAACGTTTTCTACTGTCTTTGCGTTAAGCCTACTGTTTACCTTACCTTTGCTGCCACGGATGAGTTGGGTTTCTCCAGCAAGTCCCAGAGCTTCTTCCTTTTCTCTGGGCAGCAGGTATTATCAAACTCTTCCCCTTCTCTCTCTCGCATTGTCTCTGCCTCTCTCCTCAGCTCCTCATTCATCTGCTCTTTCTTTTGATGATACCTTGCCTGGCAGCAAGATTCTAAATATATCTCATCAATCCCCCAGTAATCAAGCTCCTGGCCAAAAGAAAGAGCACACATTTCTTCCATCATATGTAGTTTCCCTGTCCTGTAGAAATTCAAAATGGAAGTGAAAGCCCCTGGGTGTCGATCAAAAAAATATTCATTTTCATTTAGATTATAGTCATCACATACTTCTAGCAGAGATTCATGAGTATTGCAGTCTCTGAGCTTTCCTAATCGTGTCCTTGGAAGTCTGTCCAAAGTCCTCCACAGCACTTCATGGTTGAGCCCACCAACATTTATTTTAACTCTCCGCGAGCAGGCTTTGCTCCTAATGATCTCCACTGGTTCTGGAGGCAGAGAAAGGGTGGACCTTGAAGACTTTTTGTTGATTCCTGGTGGAGCTTTCTCAGCCATTCTGAAAAAGACGCAGTTGTAACACCAGAGTCTTTAGGAGAATGAGCTTGGAGACTACAAATATTTGGGCAGAATCCTCTTCAGAAAGACGGCTCCATTCCTGAAGCTAAAGAAGACAAAAAGTTAGAATATTGCAATGTACAATATATTCCCCAATCTCTCTCTCTCCTTCCACGCTTTCATATGCAGATGAAAATTTAATGATGGTAATTTGCTCTCTCTACAGTGAGACTCTTTTGTGGTAGTATACAGAACCACTGGAACAACTGGAACAGCTAAGAGGACTATGTTTAAGCAAAGGAAAAAATTCACTGGAATTTCTGCATTCATGAAAATCAACTGTGACAGTTTGTACAGAGGACTTGGGGTTTTGTTGCTTTGTTTGTTGTTTGGGTTTTTTTAATCAGTTTCTGATGCAGCCATGTTAGCTTAATCTGATTACTTACCAATTAATTTGTGAGGTGTGCTAATGGAAAGATTGTAGGGATACCCATAAGGAAAAAGTGAGACAGAGGCTAGCTTCCCTTTTATTGCAAAATTCAAATTTGGGATATACTGAAACTGAATAAAACAATTAGAGCACATAATCTCCTGAGAAACCAAACTGCTTCCCTCCCTCTCCCAACTCACATCTTGATTTGCTGTATTATTTCATGGCCAAACGTTACTCATCAAACAGTTCAATTGCCATCCTGACAAGTCAAATTTTCTAGCACCAGACACTGCTGATTTCTTTACAAATAGTTCAAAAGAATCCTAACTCTTCTGCAGCCAACTGACCAGTAATATATGTTATATAGGTAAGGACTGTGCATACTGTTCCCTGACTCCTCAAAAAGGCTCTTCTCTTGTTCACCTCTTAAGTTGCTACAGGGATATGACTGCATGACAGCAATCAGCAAGCTCAGTTTTAATAATCCACAAGTGCATCCTCACTCACTGTGCCTAGTGCTTCAGTGAACTCTGAAGTGCAGCTGTTCGTCACCAAATCTGGAATATCACTATCAAACAGAAAGGAAACCCACACACCACCTCTACTATGGTCAATTATCTGACACAGTGCTTAAATAATAACCTAGCAATGGTATCTCGGCCCAAAGGGAAGACTATTAAGAATGCTTAGACAACCTTCTCTTCCAAAGTAGGAAAGTCCTCAGTAATTTCCCTGAGCTGACATCTCCTCCCATTCTCTGCAAATCAACAATTCAACAGTCCGGTTTTTTTTTTTTTTTTTTTTTTTTTCCCAGTGAAGTAACTCCAGCTTTAAAAAAGCATTTGATATTAAAAAGAATTTGATCCTCTTTGCAGAGTAAGCATGAAGGTTGTGATGGGAGGGTTTGTTACCTATAAATACATCGGGGTAAACACCAGAGAGGGAGAAGAACTATTTGTACTAGAGGACCATGATGGCACAAGAAAAAATGGGTACAAACTCACCGTGAAAAAAAGGTGAAAATCTGAAAGGGAATTAGAAGGTCACAAAGACCAGATTCTCACCAGAGCAGTGAGGGTCTAGAATAATCCTTTACTAAAAGTATCAGGAAAAACAAATAATTATTTCAGCGTGTCATCTGACATGCTTATGACAGTGTTGACTATGTTGCTAGTATAAAATTAAAATTACTAGACCTCATTATATGTAAGCTTTAAAAGTTCCTCCACCAACAGATAAAGTAATAATAAGGCTCAGCCATGTATGATACAAGTATTAACAGACTTCTACATCCAAAACATCAGGGAAAAGGAAAATTACCCACCAGACTAATATTTACATTTACAGATTTGTTGTTGTTGTTGTTGTTGAGTGCACAACTTATTGTCTTGTTAACCCCCATGATGGCAACAGCCCAAAACACCACCATGTTAGCAATTTCACTGTCAAGCTGAACCTACTTCAAAAACACAAGGGTCGAAATATTCTGCCTCTTCCCAACCTACCTCCAGCACTGCACTGTGAAGCTCCCTCCTCATCTCCCAGTGCAACGCAGAGCACCTCTGTGCCTATTTACGTAAGGGTTTAAGCCTGTAACATTTACCTTCATTCATGAAAAAGATAATCTGATAACTTAACTTGCAAAGATAAATGTCATATCAAAATCAAAGCCCTGATATCAGTAAGTTTACATAATATATATCCCTTTCTGTTGTGTTTGTTTTGTGTTTTCCTTTTTTTTCTTCTTCACCTTGGGCTGATTTTTTCTCTGGTTTTACCCTCCTTATTGCCTGACATGCAAGGGGATGATGGGGGGACTTCTGAGAAGGGGGGGACTCAAGTCATCGCAAGGTCTCCCCACTTAAGCACCTCCTAGTGGTCTGTGATGCATTTATCGGTCTTCTGACATAGAGACAACTACACAAACACTAAGCAGTTATGAGAGGGTTTTTCTCCACAGAGGAAATACAACCTTTTTTGAAAAAATCCTTTTAGAATTTAATGCACAATAATGTTTCTCCTTTAAAGGATGTCTTACATAACAAAACACAAGAATTTAAGAAATTCATAGAGAGGTTCTGTCATTCTCCATTAAATCAGTCAAGTCTTCAGGCAATTTCTACACAGGTTCACTAGTTTATTCACTATTGAATCTCAGGGATTTCTTCTTTTTTCAGTTAATATGTATACCCTGATATTAGCAATACCCAGTAAACCACAGTAGAAATCAAGCAGTTGAACTGATTAATCTTAGCATAACCATATCCTCATTTGCTTTTCTGATTACAAAACCCAAAGATTTGCAAAACTATGCATTGTTTTAGCTTTTATGCAGTGTAGTTACCACACAGATTTGTTAAACAATGCAAAATTATAGTGTCACCAAGGCTGGTCTAAAGCTGATAAAATATTTTCTGATTTGTTAGTATAATTATTGGTTGCATCTTCCTACTTGAGGAAACACAGCTTTTCTAAAAAGCTTTAAAAATCCTGGTTAACTGTGGTCATACTGAAGTCAGCAGTGAAACACCATTAAGTTTAGCGTGGAGAAGACTGGATCTGAGGTGCTATATATGTATGTATGTACCAGGGGATGAACCAGCATCCACAACATATAGCACTCTGAAAAGATAAAAAATAAAAAGCATTTTCCCCAGTGAAGAATCTTGAAATGTGAGGGCTATTTTTGCCTTTTCTCAGAGCTTCTTTCATTGAAATATATACAAGCAGTGGACTACATAACTTACAAAAAAATAAAAATTCTTTTAGTTTGCTGCCTAAGTGCCTTTCTTCACACCTTTTGTTTTCTGCTAATAATTTTTTAAAATTTCTTCCTGCACAGCTTTTCCCCAAGTCTGAACTACAGACCCTGTTTTTAACTCTGTATTGTATTTAACAATTTGTATTTAACAAAAACGTAATCAATAGCCTCTACTTTAACTACATAAGATTTTTAACTTTATAATCCACATTATAAATTTCACACAAAATCACCAGATCTTTCATTATAACAAAATTATGCAAGCGAGGTTGCCTTTACAATTCATTAAATAACCTTTCTGGATTTTAGCTACTGCAACTAACTCTTCAGACACTGCAATTTTTGCCCTGGGAAGGCTTAAGATATTTTTCAGTTTAGTTTTTTGCCTTAACTCTTTGGCTGTGTGCAACTCTACCATGCACTTTGTCCACCACGGGCTAGTGAGAAACGTGAGTATTCCTGGGCAGGCAGGCAAAGCCAGCCTGCTGCTCACCAGCTCTGCTTAGCAATATCAGTAGAGAAAGACACAAATTCTAACCACAGATATCTAAGAGCAACTCCAGATAAACCCCATATTCTTTCCTTGCAATAATAAAATGATTTTGTAGGAAAATACCTGTAATATTGAATAAAACTCTTTGAAATCAAAGCCAATTCTTTGCATTAAATCAAAGTTAAAACTGCAAAGACTATTACTCAAAAAGCTAGGGAAAGCAGAACTAAGGTTAAGTGTCTTCCCCCGCACCATATGCATATGGCTTTTAACGGTATGATTCCCCCTGCACCAATCCCTTCTGCTTTAAGTGAAAAGGTTACCATTTCTTTTCATCTTTCTCATTCATTATTTGGCCTCTGATGTTATTTAGCATGTCCTAATGCAAACCCAACATCACATGCAAAGTGGCGAATTTCCTTCAGGGAGGTCTCACTGTCCTACCTGAGTGCTTCCAGGGTATCCCAGAGTTTCCCGTCTCAACATCACTAGGAGGTCACTATTGCCATTGCTTTATAATGGAGAAATGAAGGTCATAGATGCCTGAAGTATCCAATAATTTTGGCTGCTCAAACTGAGATAGCTGTTTTTTACAGAATCCTTAGAATTTTTATCACATTTGATGGGCATGCCTACATGAGCAGCTTAAACCCTCAGGCACAGGAACTCAGCTGCCTGTGCTGTCATGTTGCCGGAGTGTCGTCTGGCACGGCACGGTTAGGACTCTCCCAAATAATCTGCAGGGATGGCTGGAGAGTCAGCATGCTCCAAGGTCTGCTCCTAATAAGTGTTTTGTCCGCAGCCATCTGCTTTGGAGCCGAGGTGAGTTTAACCACACGCACAGGGGTCACCATGCCAGCTGGCCCAAGCAGCGCCGGCCCCTTCCATGGACTGCGTGTGCAAGACCTCGTTCCAAACAGATTCACATCCAAGCTACTTTTGCATGTCTCAGTCATAAACTTCCCTACCGATCTCTGCCACATAAATTGTGCCAAAGAAGGTGGAGATGTTACACTACATAAACACGCTTCACTGTCGGAGCATGTCCTCCCTGTCCATTTAAAGCACTGTGAGGAAAAAAGTACATGGTACATAAGAAAAGGCTGTATCGTAAGGCCCCCAGGAAAGGGAAGCAAATTTGCTTTGTTCTGACTTTTAAGAGACAAACTTCTACCATTTTTGTCAGAAGATGTCATTTTGTCAAAACTTGCCACATTGTTCACAAGGCAAGATTGTATTAACTCATTCTCTGGCTTTGGAAAGAAATGGAAAAAGTTTTCAGAATTTGTTGAAAGTCCGTCTTCAACATTTTT